AGCTATCAGATGTGGTTTTGTCTTCGTCATCTGAGGCTAACAGCTTCAACAACATATTAACTCATATTAATGATGTCTGACTACTAAAATTGCACTTCAGATTGATACTGGGCAATGTTCACTACCGTGGCAAAGATCAAGTTCCTCTTTGCAAGCAGTTCTACTTCAATGGGGCGTTTCCACGTTTTGTACTGTTCTCCAATGTCTGTGATCAGTGTCCGAGAGAGGAGAGTTTTGACACATTTTCTTTTCGCACAGTTTTATCAAATGAAGCCAGGTGCTGTCTTTGAGTTCATCTGAAAGATCGATCATGCAGGTAGTTTTCTCAGACCGATGGTACCATTGCACTTTGAGGGCGGTGCGCAGAGAGCGTTGTCAGAAGCTATCTAAGCGAGCTTCATAACGTTTCAGGGCGGCAGATGTTTCGAGACTGTACAAGAGCACCACAAGTAAACTCTTAGATATTTCAAGCTGGAACTGGGTACCTTCCATAAATCTTAATAAATGCAAAATATTGACATATCGAGAACTGACGGCCGCCATGAACATCCTGAGAAGTCTCCATGAACTGGTGCTGAGAATGTTATTCTCCAAGGGGCTGCCATAGAATAACGCAATTTAAATCGTGTTTAAGCCAGACACAGTTAGTTATCACAGCTGTTGTAAAGTTTGTTTGATAACTTTGAAATATAATGCATGAATGGCACCAATGACAATAGCCTGTGGGTATATGCATAGTGGCAAGAGACATGTAAATATCTCTGTTTCTGTCATGAAGGTCTTTATGTTTCTTAGTAATGGTGAAGCTGTACGACATTTCTTAATAAATGACTACCTGTGATCCGATGATAAGGCTGTCTGGATGTAGGAAGATGCAGCAGTTAGTTGTCGTACATGGGAGGAGTGTGAGCAGCTATTTCGAGAAGCGCTTCTCTCGTTGTAACTCTCATTACTCAGACTCATGCCATACTGTTTGCCAGGAAAAATAATGAGTTATGTCAGTAACCGCCAACTGAGACGTTCAACAATTTGAGGGAGTCAAGATGACTGATAGATCGATGGAAGAATAGTGTTAACCACCCTTTCTTTCATTGTATTAACTGTTTATTAAAAATTATCTAGAATGGATGTATAGTTCCTCCTTTTATGGTCGTCGCTTCTCAGTGATGGCTCAAGCTAACAATTTACGAGGACGAAGAGAAACTGTTTTTACTGACGCCTGTCAAAGTTTCTGCAAACTCAATCGTCCATCATCCTTCAAATACTGTGTAAAACCTTGTGGTGCTTAGTTTGAAATCAAAACATCGCATAGTTCCTGACTTTTACGACGCAGTTTTTTGATATTTTTTACCATAAAATACGTTGATAATGTTTAGGTTGGGTTGATCGTTTTCCTCGCCCACATCGGTAGCTTCGTTCCGGCGGTCAGGGCCAAAATTGGACCCGTTGACCGAATCTTCAGCCGCGTACACACAATCGACACAGTGCTTAATGGCATGTCCACATTTGCGAATGATGTCAAGCAACTGGCGGTAGCGACTATCGAAGCGACTTCTAACTCAGTGGTGATAGTGGACGAGTTCGGCAAGGGCACATTATCGGTGCAGTTCATCTCTCTTATACGATTCCTTAATTACTGCATTTTTTGCGTATAGCGATCGCCAAGTAGATGGCATCAGTTATTTCTAACACAAAAAATTGTGGGAGTGGTAGGAGCTATCGTGAGAAAACGGCTATATTATGCTAAAATAAGTGGATCAAAATCAGACCTACAGTAGCACGGTTTAAGGGCTGTTTCGACTAACTAGAAAAAGTGCCATGTAGTCAGTTCAATGAATTGTTAACATTTACGCGGCGACTTCTAACCGACGCTTCAGTGTTAAATCATAGAAAGGAACGTGTGCATACCAGGTATGTACATACTAAGGCAGTAAACTGCGCCTGGCGTAATTTCGCCTAACCTCAAATTTTCAGGCATAATTCTAATTCTGCGCATAAGCAACAATGCATGACTTCAAACCACCGATGAATACATGTCATGAATGGTTGTAGCCAATCAATAAATGACAATTTGAATAATTA